GACATCATTAGAGAGCAAACCTTGTGTAGCTGAAAGAGGAACAGTCACCAAACTCTACTGCTGCTTCCATACACTGAAATATGTCAGGATGGATGCAGTGTCTAGAGATGAAATGGTATAAGGGAGAACTGAAGTTTCTTTTTGCTTGACCCTAGATGTCTGCTTTAAGAGTTATTGAAGCCTCCTTGCAGGGGATTTCAGTGCATTTTTCTGCATTTGTGCCTGACCAGTATGAAGAACAAGGAGGGAACTCAATCTGRCTGCATTCCCTCGGGGCAAGAGACTTTGTGTGTATGTGAGCCTATTGAGCCCATGTGCTGGTTTCTTTTTCTCAGTCCTTAGAGTCAAAATCAAAACCAGCCCCAGCTGTTCCTTATAATTAAATTTCAGTAACTCAAGCTGGGTGATTTTATTTTGACTAGTGACTTAAAAGTGTTGGCATTTAAATGGCCTTAGATATGTTTCAAAGTTAGCATTGGGAAAAATTCACACATATATTAGCGTTATTTGTCTGTTAGTAAATTCAACAAAATACCACTGCGTTGATTTACATAGTGAAGGTTATCTTTCCTAACAGACAGACTCAGAATTTCATTATTTAAAAATATAAGGATGAATCTCATCACAGTGCAGGAGGCTACAGATGGTACTGTATGGAACTTGCCACCTGAGCCAAGGCCATGGGTATAGTTTATGCTATACACCAAGTCCTGTGTTCAAATATATCTAAAAGAGCCAAAAGCCACACAACATGGGTCAAATCCAGGACAGATATGACTGTAAAGTATGAACATTTCAGTTCTGGTACTTTGGTACTATTCTGGTACTTCTGGTACTGTCTTTTCTCTCTAATTTTGTTACGTTTGAGGACTCTATGCTGTATCAATGATTATTCATAGGCAGTTTGTGTTGCAATAAACCAGTAACAGTCTCAGTTTTCATTGCAATTCTATATTTGGGTATTTTAGTACATCAAAATCTGGATATAAGAAGTATTAGCCATCTTATGCCAGCAGGAAGAAATTAATTTTATGCCTATCTCTGCATAGAAGCCAAAGGCTTTAGGAAATAGGATGTCTTCAGTAAGCATCTTCTCATACCCTAGGAGATATTAGGGAAGGAGTTAGGAGAGGGGAAGCTACACACTGGGCAGGGAGAGCCTTCTGCCTCTTGGCCTGAAATCCAAACTTCACAGCACAACAGGGAGATATGATCCCACCTTTGGTAATACATAGGATTGACAAAATTTTGCTGACTGGTTCTCCAAGAAGAGATGACATTCACTTCTGCTTTACTGATGATTCAGCCAGAACCTGGTGCCTCTTTCTATCAAGCTTCMGCACAGGGCAGTGTGCTGCCTGCGTGGGCAGAGGAGGAGAATAATTTCTGAAAATCTGAGCACCTCTTGCTCTGACACAGATCTTAGGAAGCAGCATGCCCAGTCCGCTACCAGGAAACTGTCTTTACTTGCTTACTACAGCTTCCCGATCCAAGACTCAAGCACCAGAGAGAAGCATGGAGAGTGCTTACCAAAGCTACTATGGAGGAAAACGTGATCTCTGAGRTAAGTCATCAAAGTCAAGTGAAGTCATATTTGAGGTCGTCAAAGCGAGACCCAGAGTGTCCTGGCTGCTGGCACCAGTGTTACATAACAGAGCAGGAGACAAACACACGCACCAGAAGAAAACAAACAAGGGAGGAGAAGAAAAGCACTTTCCTGCCAAGACAAAGAGAGAAGTGATGAGTGGTGATTACTGATGTATAATAACGTGGAATTAATGGAGGACAGCAGCACAAGCAGTGCTTAGAGGGGCACAGACATTTTATAATGAGGGTAAACAGTGACATGAATAGGGCAGCCCAAACTCTTCACCCATTCACATGGTATTTATTGGCATTGCATGGCATAGCTGAAAAGCTGAAAGACAGTGGCTAGAGTAAGAGCATTACCCTTGAAGGTTCTATAATTCTAGCAGAAGAGCCACGAGAGGCTCTTCCAAAGATACTGTTCCAAAACTTAATGAAGGGGCTGGATTTTGTTCTCGCAGTTATTACTGTTGTTTTAAATTTAAATCACTCTCAGATATGTGGCCTTATTGGGGAGGAACATTGAGATATGGAGACTAGAAGGTAGCTGCCAACTTAAGCACAACTAAATTCAGCCAGAAATGTTGAGCAGAGTGGAAGCAAGAGCACGCTATATTAGAAACCTAGATTATAAAATCTCTGTCCACCAAAGAGACCAGAGGAATGCAGATAGCTCTGTATTATTATTTGTAATGCAGTGAAGCCTAGAGGCTCTAGCCAATTATCAGGCTCTGAGCACAAGGAGGTACCATAAAATAAAACTACAGAAATGGACCAGACCCTGTCCCAAACCCTTGAGGGAAAAATGCAAGGCTTATTTATACTCTACCTTCCTATTGCTTTGGCGAGCACAGTCAAACCCTGACTACTCTGCTTTGAYTAATCAAATCTCCCTAGTTCATTTCTTGAGAGAATGTACCTAAAGAGCAGATCTGGGACTGACTTTACCAAATGCTGAGCATCCTCACTGCCTTCTGACCTTGGGATACCTGTGGTTGCTGTTGCATCCTACAATCAGGGTGTCTCTCCCCCAWGTTGCAGTGGTGAATGACTGCACTTGAGTTCCCCATGCTGCCATGAAGCTCTGGTTCTACCTGGTTTCAATGTCTCTTTCCTCCAAACTCTTCTGGGCAATGACAGATGCCTTCCAGACCTCCTTGCTTGACCTGCATCTTCCCTGGTGTGCCTGGCCCTCTTACTCAAGGCTAACAGGACACTGAGGTTTCTCAGCCTGCCCTTGATGTCAACGTCGTAGACAGAAACAACCCAGTGCCTGTTCCTGCACAGCACTGAGCACGGACCAGCAATGACTGAGGTTGCAAAGAGATAAGCAGCCCTGCTGCTGCAGAAGAAAACAGTTGGGAGATGATATCTGAGAGGAAGGCACTGAGATTTTGCAGAGCAGAGGCAGATATCAAAGTATACTAGCGTGCAARGATGTGCCTTCAGACCTAGACCTTGGCTGCACCTTTAAAGGGCTTGTCGTGGTATCTTTGGGAGATTTACTTGATGGCTGGAGCACAGACATTTCACTGGGCTTGCAATTACACTGACCCAGCAGAACGTCAGATGTTCCTTTCAGTGTGAAACCTGCCTACAGCTGCACAGAACAAATGCCTGCAGGAGCTCAGGGACATGGACCGAAGTGGGCACCCCCCACCAAAAAAGTACACAAGGATTTTGCAGGGCACTTGAAGGCTGTTCAATTGCAGATGTGCATTTCCAAATGTATCAAAAAGAGAAAAAATAAACAAGGAAAACCTGAGGTGAGGAGGCGCTGGCTTGCTAACAGGTGGAGTGTGCAGCAGGCACGCAGCCCCCAGCTGCCATGGGTCGGGCTGCGCTAGTGGGGCAGACCCCTGCCCCTTGGGGGGGCAGCACAGGCAGCCCAGGGCTCTCACCCACCACCTCCTGCTCCGGCTGTGTCCTTGCTCACCACGACATTCCCCTGCCGGCCCAGACCTTCCCTTGCCTGCCCAGGCTGGCCCCACTGGACAGCAGCTCCGTGTGGGATGGGAGGCAGCGAGGCTGCTGCAGGCTCCCACGGGGCATCACCCCATCCCCTTGGCATTGCAGGTGCTCTGCAGGAAGGGAAGGGGACAGGCAAGGGGACATGTCTGCAGGAAGGGGACAACCCCACACTGCCCTGAGATCCTCCTGTGAGCTGCCAGCCAGGCTGCTCCCTGTGCCGCTGGGATGAGAAGCAGGCGGCTGGGAGTGAACCCRGACCTCTCTCCACACCTGCAGGGTATAGAGGGGGTAGGGGGATAGAGGGATGGGAGGATGGGGGGCACAGGTGGTACAAGGATGGAAGAAGAGAAGGATGAAGGGATGGGAGATATAGGGACGGGAGAGAGGGACTGAGAGATGGAATGACAAGAGAGCTGAAGGGATGGAGGGATGGAGGAAGGGACAGAGGGGTGAAGGGATGGAGGATGCAGGCATGGGGGTGGAGCAGGGGGATGGAGGCACGGG